GGCCCTCTTGGTGGTCTCTTGGGAGGGTCTGCCTGGCCTCTTGGGGGCCTCCTGGGAGCTTCTTGGGGGTCTCTTGGGGGCCTCTTGGGGCTTTCTTGCGGCCTGTTGGGGGCCTCTTGGGGCTCTCTTGGGGGCTTCGTGGGGCTACCTGGGGGCTTATAGGGGCATTTCGGGGGCGTGTTTGGGCGGGAGGCTCAAAATTTCCGTTCAGGTTGCCCCTGTGGACCTGAATCATGGGGCCGTCTTGGGGCCTCTTGGACCGTCTTGAGGGTTTCTTGGGCCTTCTTGGAGCGCTCTTTGGCCGTCTTTGAGCGGTCTTGAGGGTCTCTCGGGCCGTCTTGGGGTGATCTTGGGGGCCTCTTGGATCGCCTTGAAAGGTGTGAAAGACGAAGAGGCGGATATGTTAAAAATGCACGCTTTCCTAAGGGAATGAAGCGTTTTTTGCTTATGGGAGCCCTCTTGGGGCGCCGCTTAGGGACCTCTTGGGGCGTCTTGAAGGCCTGTTGGGCCGTCTTGAGGCCATCGTAGGCGCTTGGGGGTGATATTTCGGCGTCTCCCGGCTCTCTTGGACCGTCTGGAGGGCTTCTCGGGCCCCTCTTGGACCGATTTGGAGCCCTCCTGGGCTCCGAAAAAGAGTTCTCGAGGGTTTCTTGGGCCTTCTTGGAGCGCTCTTGGGCCGTCTTTGAACAGTCTAGAAGGTCTCTCGGGCCGTCTTGGGGTGATCTTGGGGGCCTCTTGGACCGCCTTGAAAGGTGTGTGAGACGAAGAGGCGGATATGTTAAAAATGCACGTTTTCTACGGGAATGGGACGATGTTTGCTAGTGGGAGCCCTCTTGGGACGCCGCTTAGGGACCTCTTAGGGACCTCTTGGGGCGTCTTGAAGGCCTGTTGGGCCGTCTTGAGGCCATCGTAGGCGTTTGGGAGTGATATTTCGGTGTTAGTCGGCGATTTCGGGCCCTTTGGACCGTCTTGGGCAGCCCAACTGGCGGGCCAGAGAACACCCAAGGGACCCCTGGGGCCCCCGGGAACTGGCCAGAGAGAGCTTCACGGGCCCCTGGGGCCGCCAGATTCTATTGGGGGGGGGGGGTGCCGCCCATCCCCGAGGATCTCCTGATGTGAGATAATAAAGATAGGGATATGTAGGTCGGTATGTAGGTAGCTATGCATGTATGTATGCATGCATGCATACATGCTTGTACGTATGTCTGTATGCTGGTATGTATGCATGCATACATGTATGTCTGTATATATGTATGCACGCATGCATACATGTATGTGTGTCTGCTGGTATGTATGCATCCATCTGCGTATATGTATGCATCGATTCATGTGTGTATGGGTGCTTGTGCGTATGTGTGTATGTATTGTATGTACGTATGTAGGTAGGTGTGTATATACCTACGTATGTGTGCTCGTATGTGTGAATGTATGCATGTATGTGTGTACATATATATATATATATACATGCGTGTGTGCTTTCATGCATGTATGTATGTATGTAGATGTGCATGTATGTATATATGCATGTATGTGTGTATATGCATGTAGGTGTGTACGTCTGCCTGTGTGCATGTATGTATTTATGTACGTACGTATGTATGTATGTCTATGTACACCTGCAATATCAGGTTGCGGTGAGTTCTCTTGCGAAGATGCAAGTGCCTGACCATGACACAGCGTGCTCCGTCCTAAAACCATAATGTGTGTTATTCTGAAGTTTCGTTGCCAATTGGCAGATGTCGGTTGGCACACGGAACCCCATCCTCCAAGTGCTCCTTGGCGTTCCAGAGATCTATGATCTAAGAGACACCTTCGCGCAGTCAAGCATATGTGATCCAAGTGTACCGTTCCAATGGCTGGCCTGCAAATCCAATCGGTGGCCAGGATGTGTGCGATTACGAACGGCTGTTCATATACATAACGCGAGTAGGACCCAGGCGACATGCCATCAGCAATGCGCAATAGATTCGGTTGCACCAATGGATGAACCTCAAGCTCTGGATAGCAAGCTGGTCGCACGGAGAGCCTCCATGCCACCACCAGCATTCTTGTATTTTCAATACCAATTCGAGATGTTCATGTGTTGCGCATTCGGAAATCGCCGCTCGCACTTGCAACGAGGTCCTCGATCAGAGAACAACCCTCTCATCGGTTGCGTTGCCCTTGTGTTCAATCAGAGCTGAGCGAAAGTAGCCTCGGACTGAGGTGTCGTGCAGCAGGGACGTGCAACCAAGCTATGCGTGCAAAATATTTGACGTGATTTCCCGGCAGAGCCTGGTGAAAGTCTGTACCCTTCGCTGAGTGACCGACTGACCTAGACTGAACTGCATTGAACTGAACAGACTGAACTGGAGGGGCACTAGCCAAACCGCCCGCGGTCGCAATCGCAACCGCAACCAAGCGACACATTTCAACCCGCACAGAACTGAACAGACTAAACTGGAGGGGCAATACTGTATTCAACCCGCCCGCGGGCGCAACCGCAACCGCAACCAAGCGACACAATTCAACCCGCCTGCGGGCGCAACAACAACCGCAACCAAACGACTCATTTCAACCCGCTCGCGGTCACAACCGCAACCGCAACCAAGCGACACATTTCAACCCGCCTGCGGGCGCAACCGCAACCGCAACCAGATGACAAGTTTCAATCCGCCCGCGGGCTCAACCGCAACTGCAACCCAACGACACATTTCAACCCGCTCGCGGGCATAACCGCAACCGCAACCAAGCGACACATTTCAACCCGCCCGCGGGCGTAACCGCAACCGCAATCAAGCCGCACAATTGAACCCGCCCGCGGGCGCAACCGAAACCGCAACCGCAACCAAGCGACACATTTCAACCCGCCCGCGGGCGCAATTGCAACCGCAACCGCAACCAAACGACACATGCCATCCCGCCTGCGGGCGCAACCGCGACAACAAACGCAACCGAACGACTCATTTCAACCCGCCTGCGGGCGCAACCGCAACCGCAACCGCAACCAAACGACACGTTTCAATCCGTCCGCCTGCGCAACCGCAACCGCAACCAAACCACACATGTCAATTCGCCCGCGGGCGCGACCGCAACCGCAACCGCAAACAAGCGACACATTTCAACCCACCCGCGGGTGCAACCGCTGGGGCGACATATTTCAACCCGCCCACGGGTGCAACCGCAACCGCAACCAAACGACACATTTCAACCCGCCCGCGGGCGCAGCCGTAACCGCAATCGCAACCACAGCCAGGCGACATATTTCAACCCGCCCGCGGGCGCAACCGCCCGAGGAGCAGGAGGTGCAGGAGCACGAGGAAGAGGAGGAGGAGGGAGAGGAAAAGGGGGAAGAGAGGGAGAGTAATAGGAGGAATGGAGGAAGCGGGAAGAGGAGGAGGGGCAGGACGGCCAGTAGGAGGAGGACGACGACGATGAGGAGGCGGATGCATGGGGGGTTGTGTTTCAGGGGGTTGCAGGAGCAGGTGCCCGTGGACGAGGAAACTTAATGGCACGATAGGAAGGTGCAGGGCCTGGAGGATGAGAAGGATGAGGTCGATGAGAAGGAGGAGGAAGACGTGTTGCCTGCGGTTCTCAGCCAGGACATTGCAGCGGGGAATCCCCGCTCCACGCTGCTGCGTCTGACTTTTTCCAGGCACGTTCAAATCAAACGTATTTACAACCCCCCGTGACGCTGACCAGAACAAGCTGCAGTTTCGTACTTCATTGGCCTGTTGCGGAAACGTACAAATTGAACTTCTGTTCCGCAGCGTTCCTGCCCACACAGAGACCACGGGGCTTAGGGATGCATGCGGACCCTGCCACTGGGGCCTTCGGTGGAGCTCCCTATGGGGCCACGAAGCGTGTGAGGGGTGTGCCGAAATGGGTGGTGGGGAGGCATGCGGACCCTGCCACTGGGGCCTTCGGTGGAGCTCCCTATGGGCCACGAAACGTGTGAGGGGTGTGCCGAAATGGGTGGTGGGGAGGCATGCGGACCCTGCCACTGGGGCCTTCGGTGGAGCTCCCTATGGGGCCACGAAGCGTGTGAGGGGTGTGCCGAAATGGGTGGTGGGGAGGCATGCGGACCCTGCCACTGGGGCCTTCGGTGGAGCTCCCTATGGGGCCACGAAACGTGTGAGGGGTGTGCCGAAATGGGTGGTGGGGAGGCATGCGGACCCTGCCACTGGGGCCTTCGGTGGAGCTCCCTATGGGGACCTTTTTGTGATCTGATGTGCCTTTCATCTTCGCCTCCTCACCTCTCCCATTCCCACTTCCCTCCTCCTCCCTCTTCCTCATTATCCCTCCCCTGATCATCGTCCTCGTCGTCGTCGTCGTCTTCGTCGTCGTCGTCGTCCTCCTCCTCCTCCTCCTCCTCCTCCTCCTCCTCCTCCTCTCTCCTCCCTCCTCCTCCTCCTCCTCCTCCTCCTCTCCTCCTCCTCCTTCTCTCCTCTCCTTCCGCTTCCCCGCCTTATCCCTGCTTTTCCCCTCACCCTCTCCCTTCACCTCCTCCCTCGTCCCTGACGACCCTTGCAATGGCGTGCAACCGTGGCTGCTCAGGTCGAGGCCCAAACAAGTATTCCGACAGTCGAGTTGCTTCTGGCCTGCGAAGGAAACATGTGATGGCAGAGTTGATGTGTTTGACCCTGTGGAACGTATCTAATGTCAGATGTATGCTGCCTATATAGCTTGGGGCAGCGAACTTGGTGGTACTCCTCTCATCCTGAAGTGAAACATGGACCCCCACATCTCCCACGAACGCGTGGTGACGCCCTCTTCCCCGTCCTCCCCCCCCGCCCCCTGCACCCAACCACTCCCCCCACCCGACCCCATCTCCGCCTGCATCATTCGCATCTACTTCCTCCCGCTTCCCCTCGCCCTCTCCGCATCCCTCTTCTTTCTGCTTTACCCCTGTCCCTTCCTGCTTTACCCCTTCCTGCCTTGACCCCTGCTCCTGCCCCCACATTCCCCGTCCCATCTTCTGCCATCGTGCTCGTTCAGCTGCTCGCCACCCCGAGAAAGTCCAGCTCCGCCAGGATGGCCCGCGCGTCGGTCAGCCGCGCGTCGTGAACGTCGGACGTGGCCGCGGGCGCTGTAGCTGCAACTGCGAGCGGGGGTTTGTGGATGACGAGCAGGGAGGCGGAGTATCAAGAGAAGGAGGAGGAGGAGGAGGGAAGGAGGGAAGGAAGGGGAGTTGAGGAGGGTGGACAGGAGGGGGGCGAGTGCGGGGGATGAGGGACAGGACGTGGTCCTGGAAGAATGGAAAAGGATGTGGAGGAGGAGGAAGAACTTTGCCAGCATTATCTTTCAAGCCACTCCTCACCAGGGGGTTCTGCATCGGCGTCGGTCGAACCGCCGTCAAGCTTAGTTCGGCGCGGCGGATGAAAGTCATCGGGGCAAGGGGCCGCGAAGTGGGTCGACCAAAACAATGCTGGCGGAGGCCAGGGAGAGGGGGCCATGGGCAGGGATCTGCACAGATGTCGACAGGATGGGCACGTGGAGGGTGATTCGCAAGCGAGGCGGCGGGTACAGTCGAGGAGGATATGGCCAGGGAAGCAACTCCTCCTGCGCTCCTCCGTCCCTCCTCATTATGAACGACTCCTCCTTGTCGCATCACCAGACATGAATCAGACATACTGGCAGGGCGGGTCAGGCGTTCTGCCTGAGACTCACCGTAAATGATCCTGGGGCCTAAGGAGGCCGGCTTCTTTGCGAAATGCATTTCTCGCCCGAGCGCCGCGAAAATTCGTCCTCGACGTTCCAGCATCTACACGGACGGAGGGCGGTTCCTTTTCAGACGTGGACTCCCGCTCGGGATATCTTCAGTTCCCCAAGTAGCGCTTGCACTAGGACTGCTTGCACTAGGACTGTCTTGCGTCCTCTGATTCGCGGAATTGGTGTTGGGTCGGGCATGTCCTCCTACAGGCGGATTTTGGAGGAAAAGTGAGACATAATCAAAACATGCTGGACAATAGTCAAAAACAGTAGAGTAATCGTCCCCCGACTATTTCTGGCATATCTTTTAACATTCCTCCCGCAGGGGGCCCCGTGGCCGCCCGTGAGCGCCCCGTGTGCTGGGTGGGCTTCTATCGCCGGCGAAACCTCGGCTACAGTCGGGGCGTTGACCTAAGGAACGGTAAGTGAGGAACGAGGCCCCCTTTTTTCCACAAGTTAAACTTCGATTTCTCATCGAAGACCGAATCACGACCTAAAGCAAACTGTGAAACGATGAAGGAACACCGAGCCCCTCCCCAACGAAGAAGGGTTCCTTCTTCAGCGCCCCGACTGTATGCGCGCAGGGACGGCGAGCACAGGCAGGACCCCGGAGGCCTTGCCTGCTCGCCGCCCGTGGCCGCCCCGCACGCCGGGGGCGGGCTCGCCGAGGCTTCGTGTGGTGGCCGCTCGTGGCGGGGCCCCGTGGGCGGCCGCGCAGGCTGTTACCACGGAGCGTGCACCGCACGGGCGACTTCGGAAAGCCTGGACCCAAGCATACCCAAACCTCCTGGGGGCGCAATTTTTGCTTCCGCCGCCCTTCCGCCGGCGCTGGCCGAGGCGGCCCCGTTTTTCTTCCGCCGACCTTCCGCCGCCTTCCGCCGCGGAAGAGATAACCACTCCTTCAAGGCAAGGCCCTTTTTGGATCGCCCCACGTAGCGTGCACCACGTAGCGTGCTGAACGTGTCGCGGCGGCGGCCCCGGCGGCACGCTATGCCACGCGAGCGTGCATAGCGTCGCTCCGCTTCGCGGGGCGGGAGGCTCGGAGAGGCTCGGGGCTTTGCCGCTTGGGGGCCGTGACGTGGCTAGCGTGTCGCTCCACAGCGCGGTGGGCCGGCTGGAACCGGCGGAGCGACACGCTAAGCCAACGTTGCTGACCGTAGATTGTGCCACACAGCCTGCGCCACGCAGCCTGCGCCGCACGGTTCCACCACACGGCATACACAACATGCAGTGGGGGGCCGACCACAAGACGCCTCCCACAAGAAACCCAAGCCTTGAGATCCCAGCACGTCCTTCGATTTTTGGTGTGGGAGCGTCGCGCTGTCCATGGCAAAACCATAAACCCAAGAAGCCCAGGGCCTGGAGGCAAGCAGGGTGTTTCTTGGCCTGGGCCTCCACTGTAGCCGACACCACGCAGATTCCACAAGTCAGCTTGCGCATCCGCAGTGCAACAACGTACCGTTTGAGGTCCACGCTGGCAAACGCCTGTGATCGTACATTGGAACCCAATAGCTGCGCGGATGGAGGGCAGCTCCTGCTCAAAATGTGCCCTCGCTCAAGACTTCCTTCAACTTCATGGCCGCAAGTCCGCAGCTGCCCAGCACCTGCACGAGTGGAGGGCGACTCTGCTCTCTCACACGAGGCTCTCGCTGGACAATTCCTTGCACTCTCTGCTGCTGCTGCTGCCTCGCTGAGCTGTTTCAGGTCGGGCATGTCCTCCTCCAAGCGAATCTAGGACAACAGATGAAAACATTCGAATATTGTTTAAACATAAAAAACTGGTCCCGGTATTATTCGGACTAGTTTGACTATTCCTCCCGTAGAGGGACATGCCCGACTAAACCGTTGTCCTTATCATATCGGACTCTGGCACGCACGGTATGCCAATGGGGGCGCTCGCCCGCCGTGAAAGAGGCATGCTGCTTGCAGGGAATTCTTCGGAGGGGTCTTAGGCGCGCGACTGTGTTGGCCCTTCTCCTCCCCGCCGCGCGGCTACCCTCCAGGCGCCCCCTCTCTTTGACCCACCCTCCTCCTCCTCCTCCTCCTCCTCCTCCTCCTCCTCCTCCTCCTCCTCCTCCTCCTCCTTCCGCCTCCTCCGCCTCATCCTCCTCCGCCTCCTCCTCCGCCTCCTCCGCCTCCTCCTCCTCCTCCGCCTCCTCCGCCTCCTCCTCCTCACGTCCTCCTCCCCTCCTCCTCCTCCTCCTCCTCCTCCTCCTCCTCCTCCTCCTCCTCCTCCTCCTCCTCCTCCTCCTTCTGCCTCCTCCCGCCTCCTCCCGCCTCCTCCTCGCGACCCTTCCCCGCCCCCGTGCCCCTGCTCTTTGGCACCCTCCCGTCCCCCAAGCGCGGGCGGAGAGAGGAAAAAACGCTAGCGAGGAACGCCCGTGCGAGGGGCCGCGTGGGCGGCCTGGCGCGCCAGCGAGCTCCAGCCCCCGCGCTGCGGGCGGGGGCGCCAAGGGCGCCTCGGGGCGGCGCCCTCTCAGGAGGAGGAGGAGGAGAAGGAGGAGGAGGAGGAGGATGAGGAGGAGGAGGAGGAGGAGGAGGAGGGAGGAGGCGGCGGAGGAGGAGGGGAGGAGGAGGAGGAGGAGGAGGAGGAGGAGGAGGAGGAGGCGGAGGAGGAGGAGGAGAGGAGGAGGAGGAGGAGGAGGAGGAGGAGGAGGAGGAGGAGGAGGAGGAGGAGGAGGAGGAAGAGGGGGAGGAGGAGGAGGAGTCCACCCCCCCTTGCCGTCGTCTCGCTCGTGCCGCGCTCGGGCGAAGTCGACCCTCCCACCCGCCACCGCGAGTCGACTGCACACGCACGAGTGAGCCTACAGTCGACCCGTAGCGTAAGGATGCGCGGTAATGGTGCAAAGGCCTCGGACGCTCACTGCGAAGCTTCTCGTGCGGGGCGCGGCCGACGAAAGTGGTCAAGGATGGACCGAGGAGGCAAGGGTACAAGGGTACCCTTGGGAAGGTTGCCCATTCTCACTATGCGGGTTGACCCCAGGCAAGAGGTGCGCGGCTTCGAGGGACCGCGAAGGGCCCACATCCAAGCGCGCGGGCCAGTGCTGGGTCCACTCCTGTGAGCCCGCACCAGACGGTCACGCCCGCGAGTCACTCTTACGCGTAGCCGAGCGAGGGATGTCGGTGCAATATTTGGCACGCCTCTGGCTGGCAGCAGCGCCGGATGGCACAGGACGGGAGGTGCCGCCTCCAGGGCTTCCGCTGCTGCTCTGCGCGGCCCGGGAGGTCCCGAGACGGGCCTCGGCGGCCCTCGGAGGCCCCTCGGCGGCCCCTGTGGGCGGCCCTCGGCGGCCCCTCGGCGGGCCTTCGGCGGCCACCCGGCGGGCCCTAGGCGGGCCCTCGGCGGGCCCTCGGCGGCCACTCGGCGGCCCCTCGGCGGCCATCAGCGGGCCCTCGGTGGCCCTCGGTGGCCACTGGCGGCCCTCGGTGGCCGCGGCCCTGGGTGCCCTGGCTGTCGAAACGAACGGGCGCCCGGAGTTTGCCGCCGCCAGCCCCCAGCAGACAGCTACCGCAGAAGGCAATCGGCTCTACACATCGGCTACGCGTAAGAGTGACCCTGTGTAGGCAAGAGTGACCCTTGTTGCGCGATTTTCGGAGGCCGCGGGGAGGCCGAACCCGAGCGTGCACGCCGCTGCTATCGCATCGGATTCAGCCATCTGGGGGCCCAGGTGTGCCCTGCACTAAAGGTCACTCCGGCGAAGGGTCACTCTTACGTGTAGTCGGTGCACAGCAGCTCGCTAGACTTAGGTCGGGCATGTCCTCCTACAGGCGGATTTTGGACGAAAAGTCAGAAATAGCCAGAACATGTTCAACATAATCCCACATAGTCGGAAAATCGTCCCTGGCCTATTTTTCATTACTATTTCTGAATATTCCTCCTGCAGAGGAACGCGCCCGACTTAACGCTGAACTGCCTGACCAGTGCTGTGCCTTCTCTGCTGTACTGCACTGTCAACCCTGGTGCCCAGCAGATCTTGTCAGTCTCACTCATGTTCTGCGAGCTGCGTGCCGGCCTCTGCTGTCAGGTTCCCAGCTTCCTCAGCGTCGACATCCCCCCAAATTTCCCCCCCCCGGTCTCCAGTGCCAAATTTTGCCCACGGCGTCCTCCTCCCCCGCCTCCCGCCTCTTCCTCCTCCTCCTCCTCTTCCTCCTCCTCGTCCTCGTCCTCGTCCTCGTCGTCCTCCTCCTCCTCCTCCTCTTCCTCCTCCTCCTCGGATGGATGACTTTGGATGTTCTCGTTCTTGGGAACATCTGGGGACCCCCGGCGCCATTCAGTCCGCGCGTCCCGGCTCTCCTCCATGTCCTTACGTCGGCGGGCGTAGAAGGCGGCGGAGGTGGTTGTAGGCACGGTTGCAGTAGCCAATGGCTGGCCAAGCTGACGGGATGTCTGCCGCTTGTCCCGCGGTCGGCGCTGGGCTTGAGGCCCCCGTCCGCGTCAGCGGGGTGTGGTTCGGCAGCTGTCCCTCCTTGTCCTCACGCCGGCAGCAGGCATAGGAGAGGCGGATGGCATGGCTGTCGAAGGGTAATCAATGCGGGGGTGGGTCAGGGGCGGCCGCCGCATGCCCCATCGCCGGCAGTGGGCTTTGATGCGGCCGCTCGAGACGTGCAAATGTTGGTGGTGTTTAGCTGTTCCTCCTCCGTATCCTGACGCCATCAGTAGGCATGGGAGGGTTGGATGGCGTGGTTGTCGACGTGGGCGTCGTGGCGGTCGGAGTGATGGTCAGTGGCGGCCGCCGCATGTCCCGTCACTGGCAGTGGGTCTTGAAGCGGCCATCCGAGGCGCGCCGGTGGTGTAGTCGTGGTGCTGACGTGTCCCTCCATGTCCCGACGTCGGCAGTGGGCTCAGGATGGGTTTGCAAGGGTACTGATGTGAGTAGACTGGGTGGCGTTGGGTTTGGCTGTCCCGTCTCCGTTTCCTGCGTGGTTGCAGCATCGGAGGGGTGGCGGCGGGCATGGTTGTCGAAAGGGGGTCGATGCTGGGGTGGGCATGGTTGTCGAAGTGAGCGTTGATGCGGCCGCTCGAGACGTGCAGGTTGTGGTGTAGTAGCTGTTCCTCCTCCGTGTCCTAACGCTGGCAGCAGGCATAGGAGGTGTGGATGGCATGGTTGTCGGTGTGGGCGTCGTGGAGGTGACGGTGATGGCCAGGAGTGGCCGCCGCATGTCCCACCGCCACCAGTGGGCCTTGAAGCGGGCATCCGAGATGTGTTTGTGGTGCAGCCGTGGTGCTGACGTATCCCTCCATGTGCCCCGTCTCCGCGTCCGAGGTCGCAGGTTAGGAGAAGTGGATGGCATGGTTGAAATCGGGTTTGTAGATGTCGCTATGGTGCAGCGCATAGTTCCAGTCGCCCCTGCTTGCTGCTGACTGGTCAAGATGTAGGCTGGATGATGGGAGGAGCAGGGGGCTTGCAAAGGGGCCGTGACATTCCTCGTCGCGGCAGACTTTGGGCGGAGTATTAACTCACCGCTCAGGTTAAGCGTTCAATAACTGCTGCGGTCAACGTGACATCCTTGTAGGGGCGTCGCCTGCCCTTGTGACCTGTCCGCGCATCAGACGGTGCCTGAGGAGCATATGAATGGTTCTGGCCTCTGGTGACTTCAGTGCCGTAGGAATGTCGCAGCTCTGTTGGAGATGCATGCGGTAGCTGCTGTGGTGGTGTTGGGAGTGCCTGGTTGGAGGTGGATATCGGGCGCGAGCGTCGATGTGCCATGCAGTCGGTGCTGCGAGCGAAGTCGTAGAAGGGGTTCGGGGGAGTGCAGACGTCGTGGTACTGCTCTGGGAGATCCTCTTCTCCATCGTCGGTCTGTTGTGCTAACTCGGATGCCGTCGCCCTCCGGATGACCCTGGCGATAATCGTGCACATGCGGGTCGGGTATGTCTTCGCCACCGCGCTCCTCCACGTGCCGTCCTGGTTTCTTCCAAGCAGGGGTGGGTGCGCTACTCTCCCGTGGTTGCATCTGCGTCTTTTCGGCTCTGCGTGTATGACGCTTGCGAGCTGCGGTATGTGGATTCAGAATAATGCGGTATGCTTTCTTGCGATCTGGCCCAGCATGCACTGGTCGAGTGATGCTGTCTGTGCGTTGTCATGTCGCGTGATGTGCTGGATATCGGCGATCAGACAGCTGCTTGGCACGTTCCTCTCGTCGTTGGCCGTCTCGGGGTGCTCCGTGATGACTGGTGTACGAAGGTTGAGGGCGACGTGCACGAACAGGATTGTAGTTCGCAGCAGCTGGCTGCTGATGTCGAGCTGGTAGTATTCCATTTCGCGTAGGGTGTGCAGGCCCAGCGAGCGCACCCTTGATCGGAGCGGCCAGGGTTGGTGCTGCGTCTATTTGATGGGTCTTGCCCTGGCTGCGCTCCAGGTCGCGCAGGGTGGCCCATGGTGGCCTGGCAGCGACTGAGGCTACATATCCTGGGAGCATCTACTCTATCCAATAATCGATGGTGTCCTATTTGGTCAGGTCCACCGTCTTTTCGTGGCTTGCGATGTCGACGAGGGTGTAGAGCTGCGTCCCTGCAAGTGCTAGTACTTGCTCCTTCCCGTGCTGTATACCTACTTCTCTTCTCTGTCCGCTGAATTGCCGTCCCTCCTGATCTCTGTCATTTGTGGTGGAGGTTCGGCTTCCTCTCTATGGTGCCAGCGCAAGTTCTGATCTGGTTGCGGTCGCCGTCGAATCTCTCTGGAACGTAGGCGGGATATCCGCTCTGTAGCTTTGGATGTCGGCGAGGTCCTGCGGCTTGCCAGCCCTGAAATTTGCTCCCTGTGTGGCTCTCACGGACTCCTGGTTGTTCTCGATCTCGTTCTCGTCCAGGCGGTCGGTGCCGTTGTGCCATGGGTTGGCGCATGCTGGGCTTGCTTTGAGGTGCTTCGCGAGCCTTGCGTAGTCGTGGTCCTCCCAGCTGAATGCGAGGAATCTGGTCCCAGTGGCGTACGTGGTAGGGTTGGTTTCGGCGGGGTGCCCCTTGCCCACGCGGGCGTAATAGGCCTGTTTTGTGGCGAAATCTTACCGCATTCATAGCACGTGTATTTTCTGTCGTCGTCACTCGCCCCTCTGCTTGGTATTTGGAGTACCTCTTGGTTGCCATGGTACTCCTGAAAGTAGCTGTGTCATTGGTCGCAGCGTGCCGTGTCCTCCAGCAGTCTCTGTCTCCTGGTGGTTGCAGTCTTGAATAGGGCCCTGAATTTTTGGGTTCCTGGATGATGAACTGTGCGATCTGGTGGATGCTTGGGTCCCGCGTGGGCTTCTGCTGGTCTTTGATATTGTCGTGCATCCACTGCAAGTCGTTGTTGATGAGCTCTGCCCAGCTTCCTTTCAAGTTGGCGCTTGCGCCCAACAACCTCAGTCGATCCGTGGGTGCGCATCAGTGAAATCCCGGCAAGTATCGGAGACGAGATGTGGAAGGTGGCGTCCATGGGAAGGCTTTTCGTGACGCTGAGTATCTCTTCCTTGATGATCGTCTGCTTGTCGTAGTTCTTGCTTTTGTGACCTGCTGCAAGTCTGCGCCCCTTCATGTACTCCGCCGAGAGGGTCTCCTTCTCTTTCTCGGTCTGATCGCTCCAGACTTGGACATTGAGCAACGCTGTGGAATTCGCGAGCGCCTCGGTGTAGGGGAAGTTCTTTTTCCCATCCCTCCCTGGGTTGGGCTCTCGTTTTGAATAGAGCAGTGGGGTGTCAACTCTCTTCTTCTCCTCCTCGCCCCTCCCATGGGGGCAACGAAATGGGAAAGGGTCGCCACTTTCGAGGGCTGCTGGAGGAGCCCGCGAAGTGGGGCCCCACGCAAACCCAAGCGGGACCTCGCCATCCCTGGGGGGAAGTGTAAAGCTGTCGTCACTTTCGACGGCTGCTGGGGGAGCCCGCGCAATAGGGCTCAGCGCAAACCCGAACGGGACCTCGCCATCCCTCGGGGGCCTCAAAATATCCAATTGTCGCCGCTTTCGAGGGCTGCTGGGGGAGCCCGCGCAATAGGGCCCCAAGCAGACCCAAACGAGACCTCGCCATCCCTGGGGGCCGCGAAGTGTGAAACCGTCGCCACTTTCGAAAGCTGCTGGGGGAGCCCGCACAATAGGACCATACGTAAATCCAAACTGGACCTCGCCATCCCTGGGGGGCTGCGAAGTGTGAAACTGTCGCCACTTTCGAGGGCCGCTGGGGGAGCGCGCGCAATGGGGCCCCACGCAGACCCACACGGGACCTCGCCATCCCTTGGAGGCTGCGAGGTGTGAAACTGTCACCACTTTCGGGGGCTGCTGGGGGAGCCAGCAGTGGGGCCATACGCAAATCCAAACTGGACCTCGCCATCCCTGGGGGCTGCGAAGTGTGAAACTGTTGCCACTTTCGAAGGCTGCTGGGGGGGCCAGTAGACCTCGCCACTCCTGAGGGGGCTGCGAAGTGTGAAACTGTAGCCACTTTTGAAGGCTGCTGAGGTGGGGCAGCACAGTGGGGCCCCACGCAGACCTCGAGGACCTCGCCATCCCTGGGGGGGGGGCTGGTCACGCAGATGTTGAGCATTTCGGCATGGAAAAACGCGACATTTCATTGTCTGAATGCGTCTCTGCCTGCGTAAGCTTATCTTGCCCATGCTCCATCATCTCGCTGCTTCTGCCGAGGTGATTGTTCTTCCAACCCGATGACTTCCTTTTGCTCCTTCTTCCCAATACCATGCCTACTGGCCTTTGTACCTCTGTTCTGCGAGTCGGCCACGCACGCTTCACGCGATATAGATATCCGCCGTGCACCGTCTCTTGCAGTGTTGCTGTCACACTATTGTCGGCACGCCTTGTATCACCCCTTGGTCCCGATGAGTTGGGTTCGCCGCAGGGACATGAATTTAAAGTCTCCTCCTTCAGCAGACCTCCTTTTTCAGTGGCCCTCTTGATGCTATTTCTCTTGCTGCCCCTTTTTTGAGCCCTGGTCCCCTTGCATTGGTCGAGGTGATGATGGTGCCCGGCGCCTCTGGTGGCTGAAATGGTCCTGGTAGGACGTCGGTACTGACGTTCTGCGTGCCCTGCTCTGCCATGTCCTCCTTCGCTTCTGTAGATCCTCTGCCGTCGAACCAGAGCCTGATCTTAGTGTCTTGGGGGTTGGGTATCATGCCCATTGTCATACTGTGCTTCGCGACGATGTGCAATAGCTTTAGGTCGGGCATGTCCCCCTACAGGCGGACTTTGGAGGAAAAGTAAAGAATAGTCAAACATATTCAGGAATAGTCAGAAAATGAAGAAATACATCGTCCCCAGACTATTTTTTCATTATTTCTGAATGTTCCTCCTGTAGAGGAACACGCCCGACTCAACAATAGCTTCTGCGCAATGCCGCTGGCGGTTTCGGGCGCGGTGGTCGCGCGCGCTGCGAGGTCGTCGACCGGGGGCGCGCCGGCGAGCGCCCTTCTGGCGCCGGCGCCGAAGAAACAGGGCGAGCGAGGTCCGCAGGCTGGGCGCCCGGGCCCGCGCGCAGCTGGCCGCGCTGGCGCGCCGAGCCCGCCCTGCGCTGGCGGCCCAGGCTGCGATAGGGGGGGGGGGGGGGGCAAAGGGGGGGGAACCGTTGACCTGGAATCGGCGATACATCGCCGATAGATCGGCGACACTCCGACAGCGAATCTGCGCCTTCCTGGGCAGGTTGGGGCCATCGGGCCCCTATCGGCGGTCAATGGGCGAGTGGGGGTCGAAGCATCCCCCCCTTATGCCTCCCCCCCCTGTCGTTGCCCCCGGGAAGGGCAGTGGCCCCATGGGCCTGGTGGGGGTCGGGCCCAGCCTGGCGAGTCGCCTCCCCAAGTCGTCGCGCGTCGACTCGCGGCGCGCATGGCGCGGCGCGACCCTGCCGGGATCTCCCCGACGCGCCGTTCCAGTGGACCTTCCTGCAGGGCCGCGGTCGCACCCGCGGGGCGCGCGCCTGCCGCGCGCGCGCCGCGAGCGCAGTGGCAATGCATCCACTCCTTCGCGCGCAACGGAGCTGGCGCGCCCAACGCTCGACATCGCTTCGGTTATCTTCCCGACGTCCCGCCTGCTGGTTGTGAATCTCAGCTCCCGCCGCGCACGCTCCACCCGGCCTCTTGCCAGATCGCTCCATGCCGATCTTCGAAGTGTGGGCCCAGGCCTACAGCTTGCGAAGTTGCCCCGACGGATCGTCGCGCGCGCCGCTGATGCCGCCACCGCCTCCGCGAGGTAGCAGGCCTGGATGATGGGGTCCGCGAGCTTGCTTCTGGCTGTGCTCCCGATCTTAGGCTCCAACCAACATGCCCTGTGATCTTCCTCCGCAAAAAGGCCCCTCTGAGCGCCCATCTTTTACGAGCTCGGTATCCAAGAAGGGCGCGGTGGTGCTCGGCAATCTGGCCGTCGGCCATGCGCACTCCCCACCGTCGCGGTGTCGCGGTGTGTCAGTCCCTGCCGAAGGCATGCGCCTCTGGGAATAGTTACCGTCAGCAGTTGCAGCGCCGTCCGCTGAAACGCTGCTCGTTGTTTCAGGAGACTGAGCTCGTACATATCGTGTTTGTAGCTGGCGTTGGACACTCCGTCTCCTTCGGTTTCGGGTAGACCTTAGCGCCGCATGAGTGGTCGCGCGACTGTCTCATCCAAGAAATCTGTTCGACACCTTTTCAGCGGTGACGCGCATGCGCCGAACATGTTGCTAGAGTTCTGACTATTCCCCTGAGCAATGCTTGCACCATGGTTTGCCATGCGTTCTCATGGACAGTGTCTGGATGTCGGGGTTGGGCCGTGGATGCTGAGCCTCCCATGGTGGCTTCCTCATGGCTTCCTGCCAATGGCCCTGGATGTTGGGTAAAGCCGTGGGCGCTTGGCCCCATATGGTCTCTGTATTTACCTAATGATTTGCCGCCCGAGTGGCCATGGGCGTTGGGGTTGGGCTGTAGGTGCTCGGCCTTCTATGGCTTCGCTTTCCATGGCCCCGATCGCCCAAGGTGCTGGGTTCGGGCCGAGGGCGCTTGGCCTCCTATGGCTTCCCTGTGGTTTCTCGCTCCATTGGCCCAAGGTTCGGGGGTGGGGCCAAGGTTGTGTCGCCTCGCATGGTATCCTATGGCTCAGCCCCCTATGGTATCCTGGGGGGGACTTTTTCTAATCATGTCTCGGCCTTTCTGGATTGGCCTTCTATGGCCTCCTATAGCTTCACGCTCCATTGGCTCTGTGCGTGGTCTCCTAAAGTTTGGCCTGCTATAGCTTGGCCTTCTGTGGATCGCCATGGTTCCCCGCTATACGGAAGCTGTGGCATCCGCAAAAATGGGGTTCCACATGTCTACCAGACGTGAACCGTTTTGTGTCCACACGCTGGCATATGTTTCCCGACTCTCGCTTCAAAGTTTCGTGGCAAAACGTCCGAACCCTGATCCTATCTCCATCGCGAGTGTACCAGCAAACTTAAGCTTGCTGCTTGGTGCCCGCGAAGACCCAACACTTTCTCCAAGATAATCGGGTCCAGGTCCTGTGCATGCGTCCAGGCGCAGACTTTCAACTCAACGTAGAACTCGGCGGCCTGCTTATCGGCCGAGGCTTGCATAGTTACTCTGAACACCCCGACGTGGCGTCGGTCATGCTGCATGGTCTGTCTTATGAACACCATGAGCATAAACACCCTCACAGAAACCAACAATTTGTTGTCAAAGTGGCTGCGCAACTTCTGCGTCCTTCGCCGTGTTTGGCGGAATTGTGCTGGAAAATCGGTGTACACCTACCGGCACCAAGGGCGAATGAAATCGCCGACGTATTTTGCGAATTCCTCGAGCACCTGCCTGAAACCGCCAAACGCTTTAGTGTGAGACCGTCGAGCACCACCTTGGTAAAAGTCGCCAAGCACCAACATGAAGTCGCCGAGCACCGTCGGTTTGGAACCCAGCTTGGTATGACGAGCGAGATCGGCGGGCAATCCACCAGAAGCTCCGACGCCTCGAGCGGGAGTCAGCCCGCGGCACAAATTGCGCAGCTGCCCACGTGGAGATGCTGCTTGGTCCCGACGTGGCAGGTGGTTCAGATCCCCTGGTTCGATCGCTGACTGAATTGTGGCTGAGGGGCCCTGTGATCCAGGACGGTTACGAGAGGTATCCGGATGAGACAAAGGGATGCAGGTGAGTTGGGTGAGACACATGGCACTCACGCCCTTATCTTCGGCTTCGTCCATTCCTTTCATCTCCTTATCCCCCAACCGCCCTCTTCTCCCCCCCCTCTTCCTCCCCATGCTCTTCTCCGTACCTCTCTCTCTCTCTCTGTTTCTCCCTCCCTCCTTCTTCTCCCCCTCCCGCCCTCCGCCCTCAGGGCCACGGGGCCGTGCGACAGGGCCGCCCTCCTTTCCTGCCGAATCTGGGCCACAGGGCCGTGCTCGCAGCGACAGCCTGCCTTCGGCACTTCCGACGCGACCGGGCTGTCCAGCAAGGGGCTGGCGGCATCCTCCCGCATGCTCGCTGGAGAGGCCGGGAGAAGAAGGCATGGCGACGTGCTTGAATCAGGAGGGGGGGGGGATGGGGGGCAGGAGGGAGGAGGAGGAAAAGAGAAGAGCAGAGAAGAGACGAGAAGGAATGAGAAGGTGAGGATGCAAGATAATTGGGAGGAGGGGCTGGCAAGATACGTACTACATGGAAAAAAAGGGAAGGAGGACGAGGATTATGCTTTTAGCCGCAGAGGTTCCCGTCGCAGCTGTCATCCATGCGCAACTCTCGAAAATGCCATGGGCCACGTCCGCCGCCACGCCACTGTCCACGAGCATCGCAGGCTCATGAAGGAGGACCGAGGGAAGGGATGAGAGAAGAAGAAGGGGCCAGGGCGCTGTGCGGAGATCCCCTGCGGACCAACTGGTCAGTTCTAACGCGCACGACTCACAACGGCATCACAAGGGCATCCCAGAGGAAAAGGGAGAGGAAGGGAGAGAACGACACGCCGTAGAGGAAGGGACGTGCACAATGATAGGAAAAGCAAGCCCAGCTTTGTCAGTCGCACGGCGGAAACCAATCAAATCATAAGACTCGCGCGCGCATACCTTGTCCGAAGCGTGCGCCGGCAGGGCCCGCGCTGATGCCCAACGCGAGCGGGGCGGAGAAGCAGGAAGAGAGGGGACAGAGACGTGGGAAGGGAACAACACGATCGCAGCCAACAGGCCCCGCAGGCAGTAATGAAAGATGACAGGCAGGTCTACAGCTACGAACCTACCACCCTGTATGGTAAAATCGTGTAGGCAGTCGGCCTGTCTGTAGTACTTTACTGGCAAGGCGCAGCAGCGCCCTGGATTGGCCTGGAAACCAGATGGACGACGGACAAAGTCAACCCACGGCATCATACCGTTGCCATGCGGGGTCGGCAAAACTGCGGCCGCGAGGAGACCAGCAGGGCATGCAAACTGAAACGGCACGAACACCTGGCGCGCGTACGAAAAACTGAAAACAGGAGGGGGGAGGAGATAAAAAGAAAGGAGATGAGGGCAACTGACAAGGGGGCGAACATCCAGTCCTCCGCGAGTAACTACTTCACTCACCGTTCGGGAGGGAGTGAAGCGAGACAGGCAGACAGAAAGCTGGCCAAACCCAGCGGGACTAGTCAGCGTTCCGCCTCTGGGAGGCGAGAGCGCGAGAAAAGGAACGAGATGAGGGAGGAGTTCGCATTGCATCTTCCCAGGCAAGCTCCAAATGCGGCGAGGGATCGCGACATGAGGAGGCGATTCCGATGGACATACGGGACACGATGTCCCTGAGTATGGCCCTCACACCGCTCCATAGAATTTCGCCCAAAACCACCGCAAACGATAGAACTCCTGGATGCTCCAATCCGTGACGCACCAAATCCGTGACACAAGTGACGCACCGAGTCCGTGACATACGGCATGTCAGAAATCAGAAATAAACTGCCCGCATTCCCACCTGCTGGAACTATTGCTGGAACTGGACCACCAAGGATGAATGGCGACGTATTGCTGGAACTGGTCGTGGTGCCCAGCGTCATGCTGCCGTTGCCTGTCGTGCTGCTCGGTGTCGTATTCCTGGAGCCCGCGTCGTGCTGCCCAGTGTCGTGCTGCTGGGACTCGTAGTGCGTGGCACTTCTTGATGTTGAGATCGCAATTGCTGAGGAGGGCGAGGATGATGAGGAGGAGGAGGAGAAGGAAGAGGAGGAGGAGGAGGAGGAGGAGGAGGAGGGAGGAGGAGGAGGGAGGGAGAACGAGGAGGAGGAGGAGGAGGAGGGAGAGAGAACGAGAACGAGAACGAGAACGAGGAGGAGGAGGAGGAGGAGGAGGAGGAGGAGGAGGAGCGCTTTTGTGTGACGACCGCGGTCGGAAGGCTGGACATGGCGGTGCTGCTCGGCGCGTCGTGCTGCCGGTGCCCGACACGTGCTGCTGGCGCTCGTCGCGCGCTGGCCCGAGAATCGTGCGGCCGGTATAGCCGAGCCTCCGTCTTGTGGACTCGGGGAGAGCACACATGAAAGCAGATGGGCCCAGTTTGGTCAAACACTGTCGGGGCGAGTCCTGTCCAGACAGACGCCCGGACGGTTGAAGGAAAGAACCCTGCATCAACAACGCTCCGAAGACAAAGAACCGAGTTCCCCCCCCTCCACCCCCCGGCCTTAATAGTGGAATGAGTAGCGATCGAGATCTTGAGTTCAATCATTTTTCCGACCGTCCATCTCCGGGACCAACTGCTCAACATTAATGCCAGGGGGGTGCGGGTGTGTGTGTGTTCGAAATGGTCCCCCAACTCTTGATGCAAAGTCTTTTCCTTCAACGGGATCACGACGCGTCTTGCTGCCCGTCGTTCTGCGGAGCGTCAACTATGGTCCTTGGCCCGCGTGGTGCGGTATACCTCCCCGTCGGGCGGGGGTGCTGGGCGGCTTGCGCTGGAATCCACTGCGACATCGCGCGGGGGGATGCCAGCCCATCCGCGTGGTGAAATTCACCGTGAGTGGCGGAATCGCCGTCGGACAGGCAGGCGCGGAGGTCGGATTACGATGCAGTGGTGGTGCGCTCCGTAGTTGTGGTGCTGCTCTCACTTGACGTGCTTGTGGCGTCCGCTCTCGAGCCGTGGAGTCGATCACCGCCGTGTTGCTCAGCGTCCGAGTAGGCGATCGGCTGCATAGTTGATTTACCCCTTAATTGATTTGTTCGTCGGATCTACGAACGAATGCGAAGAACGCTCGGTAGATCTATGGAGCATTCTACATTTTGTTCCGTATGTTCGACGAACAAGACAAGTCTGGGGTAAATCCATTCTGTAGTCGATCTCCTGCTCGAAGCGCCCTTCTCCTATGAATTCCAGGATTTCCAAGAATATCTCTCGGCCCTCGCTTCCGCAGCCCGTGCGGAACATGGGGACATCTAAGAAACTCTAATGATCCTGGCGAAGGACCCAATCATATGCAGCTGTGAGTACAGTACCGCGATGTGGGTACCGCTCTCGGTGGAACCCCCTATGGGGCCACGATCCTCGTGAGGGGTGTGCCGAAATGGGCGGGGGGACGCATGCAAATCCTGAGCTCTCTATGGGGCCACGATCCTCGTGAGGGGTGTGCCGAAATGGGGGGGGACGCATGCAAACCCTGTCGCTGGGGCCTTCGGTGGAGCTCCCCATGGGGCCACGATCATCGTGAGGGGTGCGCCGACATGGTGGACATGCGGCGAGCAGAAGCAGGAATGGGAGGAGGGAGGAGGAGGAGGAGGGAGGGGGCAGCGAGAGGTGGAGGTGAGGTGAGGTGAGACGCGGGGCGCTGTTTCTTCAAAACGAGGACCCAACACCACGGGATGGTTGGGACAAAATCTTGGAGAGATCTTGGAACGTATCACCATCATGACCTCTCGCTCCTCTGATTCTCCCATGGCCCATCGTGCTGCTCGACGTCGCTACGAAGCCGTCGCACAACGCACACTACGTAATGCCGGGAGCGCGCTCTGCTGCGCTCGGGCGCACGGGGCCGCATTTCTTTGCGGCCGGTGCCCCTCGTGCTGCGGCAGGTTCACGTCGTGCCGACCCCAGTCGCGTCTTCCTCCTCCTCCTCCTCCTCCTCCTCCTCCTCCTCCTCCTTCCCCTCCTCCTCCTCCTCCTCCTCCTCCTCCTCCTCCTCTTCCTCGTCCTCCTCGCCCTCCTCGTCCTCCTCGTCCTCCTCGTCCTCCTCGTCCTCCTCATCCCTCTTCCCTCTCTTCACTCCTCCTCCTGCTCTTCCTCCGCGTGCTACCAAATACATTGATACCCAGTCAAGGATAATTAGCCTCATCCAAGAGTCGGCGCAGGCACGGAACTGAGGAACTGCGTGTCGGCGCAGGCGCTGGACCAGGGAGTCGGCGCAACCATTAGCCTCGTAGCCGAACGCGGCGTCGGACCGAGTCGACGCAGGCGTCAAACGGGGGCTCGGTGCATGTTACAGGCGGGAAGCCATTGCAGGTGTCGGAATCTCAAGTAACACTGGACCTTCGTAACGCTGATGATGGCGCTGCGTGTGGAACTGCGGGTGCCTGCTGAGAGTGTTCCTTGCACTGGCCGTCAGTTATACGTAGGAGGAGAGGAGGAGGAGGAGGAGGAGGAGGAGGAGGAGGAGGAGGAGGAGGAGGAGGAGGAGGAGGAGGAAGAGGAGGAAGGTTCGAGATACGCGGGAGTGTGGATAGTGGCTTCTGTCTTGTGTAGGTTTGGAGGGGATGCAGGCGCTGAGATTGTCCTCCTCTTCGTCTGGCAGTGCTGGAACCCTTGCCAGCCAGTAACCCTCTTCAAGGGTGAACCCAGGCTGAGTCCTGGGCTGGTGGGGACACGCGAAGCGTCATTGATACTCAGTCGCAAAGGATAGCCTCATCCAGTCGAGGAGCACATATTGAGTCTCGCTCCAGAGAGCTCTCGCTGCACTCAAGGTGAGCCCGAACACGACAAATTGCATGGCACGTGCGCAAGAGGGGATGATCATGAACAGCTCCTGGAGGAATGCGTGACATATATCACAATCACTTGGCAGGACAACATAATGGAACTCATGTGTTATTCGATCAGATAGAAGAGGACATCGACTGGAAACTGGTCGCCGTCAGCGTGCGCCCAGACAGGAGCAACGCCCAAGCGTCCATGAGCACGGAGGAACGAAAGTATAGTCTGACACGAAGCGGTAGTCGGTCTGACTCAAGCCTGTCATGGCGTAGTTTGGCCGCACGGCAACCAACACCACTGGGCGTCATCACGCATGATACCATACGTAAAGGGAACAGCTTCTGCCGCTAACAATTACAAGTGTCAACTGCAAATGCAGCCGAGGATGGCAGACTCAGAAAGATAAAAATAATGACAAAGAAGGACAAGCAAGGGACCACCGTACGTCAGGTTCGTGTCGTGCCGACTTCGGCGTTGGTTCCTGACACCCCAGGGGATCGTTCAACTATGAACGATCGGCCGTTTCCGAAACGTCAGATCGTTCAACATCGACCGATTCTGGACTGCAGGGGGCGCTCAACGTTGAACGCCAGCGGCAGGTTCGCCGGTGGTCGACACGACGCGAACCTACCGATCTCGCGCGCAAACATGGATTAGCGATCCATAATCCATGGATCAGGGGAGGTGCTCTCCCCAAAGTACGGCCGGTGTCGCCTCGTTCGGCGGCGGAAATCCGCGATTTCCCATGGAAACGGGACCCGTCGCTAATCCACGCCCCCTCTATGTTTGCGATCGCCTGAGAACCTTCAGAGTCGCAATGGCGCGTCCCCGCCCCCTCCCTCTGGCTGTCGGCAGCGGCAAGGTTGAAGTAGGCTGGGGTCTCGTCCGCGGCCAGCGGTGGTGCCGGCTGCAGGCCTGGCCCGTGCCCGTATCAGCATCAGCATCAGCATCAGCATCACCAGCATCACCATCATCAACAACATCCTAATCAACATTATCATCACCACCATCATCATCATCATCATCGTCATCATCATCATCATCGTCGTCGTCGTCATCGCCACCCTGTCGTCCCTCAGTCGCAAGCGGCATCATCATCATCATCATCATCATCATCATCATCATCATCATCATCATCATCATCATCATCATCATCATCATCATCATCATCTTCATCATCATCATCATCATCATCATCATCATCATCATTCTCATCATCACGGTGAACATTTACATCAACGTAATCACCATCATCGTCATCACCACCATCCCCATCAACACAAGCGTCATCATCAGCATCATCATCACCAACATCATCATCACTATCAACATCAACATCAGCAACATCATTATCATGACCATCATCGTCACCATCACCATCACCATCACCATCACCATAATCGTCATCATCATCATCATCATCGTCGTCATCGCCATCATCATTATTGTCATCATCATCATCATCATCGTCAGCATCATCATTATCATCACCACCATCATCATTTCATCATCATCATCATCATCGTCGTCGTCGTCGTCGTCGCCATCCTCGTCGTCCCTCAGTCGCCAGCGGCATCATCATCTCATCACCATCACCATCATCATTTACATCAACGTAATCACCATCAGTATCATCGTCATCACCACCATCACCATCATCAAAATCGTCATCATCATGACCATCATCATCACCATCATCGTCATCACCATCATCATGACAATCATCAACATCGCCATCACCATCACCATCAGCATTACCGTCAGCATCATCGTCATCATCATCGGCATCAGCATCACCATCATCATCAACAACATCATCATCATCATTTTCGTCGTCGTCGTCAGTGTGTCGCCAGCGACACCATCGTCATCATCACCACTATCATTGCCATCACCATCATCTGCACCATGAACATCAGCATCAACATCAGCCTCAGCATCATAACCATCATCAGCAGCAGCACCACCACCATCATCATCACCATCATGAACATCAGCATCGTCAGCATCAGCAGCATCATCATAATCAGCCCTACCATCATCATCGTCATCACCATAACCCTCATCCTTATCCTTATCATTATCATTATCATCAACATCATCATCGGTTTCGTACCTCTGTTGCCAGAGGCATCATCATCACCATCATTATCATCACCATCACCATCGCCATCATCACCATCGCCAACATTAACATCATCAGCATTACCACCACCATCATCATATCAGGGAGGCGATTCTACACACAAAGACTCTTCAGGAAATCAATCAGCAAACCCGATGCAAAAGCCGACCCCTTCAGGAGGGACGGGAAAAAGCAAGCAAGCAACACTTATTTCAAATATTCGCATCCGCAGGCAAGCAAACGACAACGCGAACAACTGAAACAGCAGACGGACTGGAACTCCGAACGAACATGATGAATACTATGTTTCGGTCCTCTTTCGGTACGCCCCCACCGCCAGGCCCCCGCGCAAAGCGCCGCCTCGAGTAAACATGCAGAACAATGCGTTCCGTTTCTGCTTCGGTGCGCCCCGGCCGCCGGGGCCCCGCACGCAGCGCGACCCCGAGCGGCAGTAATGAGCACTGTGTTCACTTGTGCTTCGGCGCGCCCCCACCGCCCGGACCCCGCACAAAGCACGACCCCGAACGATAACGACGAACTTTGCTTTCAGATTCTCCTTTGGCGCGCCCCTGCCACCAGGCCCCCGCGCGGAGCACTGCCCCGAACGCCAATGACGAGTATTCCTTCCAATTTCTGCTTTGGTGCGTCTCCGCCGCTGGAGCCCCGCGCGGAGCACAGCACCGAACGACAATGTCAGGCAATGCGTTCAATCTCTGCTTCGGTACGCACTCGCCGCCAGGGCCCCGCGCGGACCCAGGCTTCAGAGGACCCAAGATGCCTCCGAGAGGCCCCGAAGTTGCCCGAGAAGGCTCCGAAGCTGTCCCAATGTATCCACAGGATGGCCTCAGGATGGCGAACTCCCTCATGGCTCCCTGGAGCCGTCTAGTCCGCGAGGGCTTCCCAGGGCCTCTCACAAGCTCGTGGGGATTCCCCAAGGCTCTGCCGGCCGCTCAATGCCTCCCGAAACTACGCAGAACTCGCCGAGGCCTGCCCAGACTCCGCAATGCCTCCAAGGACTTCTCGATGTCTGGGGCCCGGGGGTCGGCGGCAAATAGCCCCTTCAGGAATTGCTCCCCGCGGCCGACAGAAGCCCCGCTGGAGCCTCGGGGGAGATCGGGGGAGCCCAAGGGCGCCCCCCAAGGTGGCCCCAGAAAGCCTGCAGATGCAGCTAAGCCAAGGCCGCCAAAACAGCAAGCAAGCAAAGAACCCCGAAACCATTACCTCCTTCCAGAAAAAAGCAGCAAGCAAGCAGACGCCGGGCCGAACCCTTGCACCTAAAAGCCTGAGTCGCCTCCCTGATATCATCACGACCATCCTAACATCATCAACATCGTTATCATCATACACATCAACATCCTCACCACCATAATCCATCATCGTCACCATCATCATCAACATCATCATCACAATCATCGTCGTCGTCCCTGCCGCCAGCGGTATCATCACCAGCACCATCATCATCATCATCATCATCATCATCATCATCACTACCACCACCATCAACATCATCAGCATGATCATCATCATCATCAACATCTTCAACATCATCAGTGTCATCATCACCACTATCACAATCAACACCAGCATCAGCAACATCATCATCACCAGCATCATCATATCAGTATCATCATCTTCATCATCAGTATCATCATCATATATCTCAGCCCCACCACCATCATCATCAACACCATCACCATCACCATCACCATCATCATCATCATCAACACCATCACCATCACCATCATCATCATCAACACCATCACCATCACCATCACCATCACCATCACCATCACCATCATCATCATCATCATCATCATCATCATCATCATCATCAACATGATCACCAACAACATCATCATGACCACCATCATCGTCGTCGTCCCTCTGTCGCCAGCGGCAACATCACCACCATCACCTTCACCATCACCATCATCAACACCAGCACAATCATCATTAGCAGCATCACCACCACCATCATCGCCACCATCCATCATCATCATCATCATCATCATCACCATCACCATCACCACCACCATCATCACCACCATCCATCATCATCATCATCATCATCATCATCATCATCATCATCATCATCATCATCATCATCACCATCACCATCACCATCATCATCATCATCATCATCATCATCATCATCATCATCACCATCATCACCATCGTCATGACCGCTACCATCATCACCAACATCAGCATGACATCATCATCAACATCGTCGTCGTCGTCGTCGTCGTCGTCCTTGACGTCGTCGCCAGCGCCAAGCCTGCGCGGGGGCTGGGGGGCGGCCCGCCGCGGGGGCAGGGCGTGGCCCGCGCAGCAGCTCCCCCCGCTCGTTCGTCGACGGTCGGGCGCGTCGCCGCGGCGGCCCCGGCGACGCGCTGTCCCGTGAGAGCGGACGACGCTTAGGTCGGGCATGTCCCCCTGCAGGCAGATTTTGGACGAAAAATAAAACATACCCCCCCAATACCCCCCAGAATGATTAAAAAATCGTTCCCAGACTATTTTTTTGTACTATTTCCCCAATCAGAGCTTGCCTCTGTAGGGGTCCTAGCGGATTTAAAGGTAGGTGAGGTGTGCCGCCGATTCGGTGCCCGGGTGCCCGGGTGCCCGGGTGCCCGGGTTTGCCGCCGATTCGGTGGCCGGGCCCGGGTGCCCGGGTGCCCGGGTGCTCGGGTGCCTGGGTGCCCGGGTTCGCCGCCGATTCGGTGGCTGGGCCCGGGTGCCTGGATGCCCAGGTGCCCGGGTGCCCGGGTGACGGGTGCCCGGTGCCCGGGTGGGTGCCCGGGTGCCCGGATGCCCGGGTGCCCGGGTGCCCTGTGCCCTGTAGCCCTATAGCCTTATAGCCCTATATCCCTATCGCCCAATAGCCCTATAGCCAGCCCTATAACCCATATAGCCGTATAGCCATATAGCCCATATAGCGCCCAAGAGCCCATACAGCCCTGTAGCCCTATAGCCCTACAGCCCTAAAAAGATCATGATTGGGGTTTTCTCTGGTATCATTGAGAATTTTCCCCCTGTAGAGGGACACGCCCGACTTAAGTCAGCGCGTCGCTCTGCTCCGCAGAGCGGGAAGCTCGGAAACGCGTGGCAAGACGAGGCCAGGACGAGGACAAATTCGAGTGGGGGTGCATCGAGAAATTCTCTCTGATCTCCAGAGGCTCTGGAGGAAGTGTCTCTGGCACCGCGGCCTTCTCTCAGAGCGTGCTGGAACGCTCTGAGAGCGTTCCAGAACGCTCTGGAACGGATCTATCCTCGTCCTAACCTTAGGTCGGGCATGTCCCCCTACAGGCACATTTTGGACGACGAATAAAAAGTACTCCCAAAATAATCAAAAATGCTCAGAAATATTTCAAAAATCGTCCTCAGACGATTTTCTGGCTATTTTTGAAAATTTCTCCTGTAAAGGGACAGGCCTGGAAGCGCTGGAAGCGCACTCTTCGCCATCGCATTCTCTCACTGTGATTCTCCAAGTGCTTAGTGTATTGTATTTTCCGCACTCTGTCTGTCCACGCGCCGCCTGGTGTACGACTCGGAAGTCGGAAGGGAGGGATGTAGAGGGACAGGCCCGACTTAATCCTAACCCGTCTGGCTCGGGACGTTGACGCCTTGGGGCCAGGGCTTTGAGAGCGAGTGGCGCCAGAGCGTGGTGGGCCAGGGCCGGCAGAGCGCTACGCTATCGAAAAGTTCCTGGTCGTGCAGTGGAGGTCCGACCACAAGAAACCCTCCACAAGAAACCCAACCCTAAGACCCCAGGACGTCCGTTGATCTTTGGTGTGGGAACGTCACGCTTTCCATCGCCAAAACATCGAAACCGAAGGAACCCAGGGCACCCTGGAGGCAAGCAAGGTGTTTGTTGGCATGGGTCTCCACTGAATCTGCATGTTCTTCCTACTCCATCTCCTCCTCCTCCGTGTCCTCGCTCGTTGCTCTGGTCTCACGCCTCACGCCGTGGCCCTGGTTTCCCACCTCTCATCCCTCACTCCTCGCGCCTTACTCCTCCTTCCCCTCCTCGGCCTCCTCGTCTTCATTCTCCCTCTCCTCTTCGTCTCCCTCCTTCTCCCATTCCTCCTTTTGCTTCTCAGTTTCCTCCTCCACAACCTCCTAGTCATCCTCCTTATCCATCCAGACTCTTCTAGCCTTCTGAGTTTTTGATCTTCACTCCTTGCCCGTCAACCCTCAGCCCTGACTCATCACTTCTCACCTGTCTTTCTCTTCGCCCTGCTTCTCCTCGTCCTCGTCCTCGCCCTCATCGCTCACCCCCCCCCCCCCGCTCCCCCGCCTCCACCTCCTCCTCCTCCTCCTCCTCCTCCTCCTCCTCCTCCTCTCCTCCTCCTCTTCCTCTCCTCCACCTCCTGCTCCTCCTCCACCTCCTCCTCCTTCTCCTCCTCCTCCTCCTCCTCCTCCTCCTCCTCCTCCTCCTCCTCATAACTCGTCTCTCGGTTCATGTCTCCTGCTGTCGGTTGCGTCCCGCCATCGCTGAGCCTTCTGCGCCAGCGCAGATGGGAGAGCCTGGCGGTCTGCCGCCGACTCGCCCGCTCCTGGCGGCTTGACCTGGGACGCCCGCCGTACCGTCGGCCCGTATCATAAGGATGGCCGGCAGGGATGAGGCGACGGGCTGCCTCACAGGACGCCACAGCCTCCCTCCGTCCGCGAACGAGGATGAGGATGAGGAGGAGGAGGAGGAGGAGGAGGAGGAGGAGGAGGCCATGTGAACGTTTCTCAAGCGAGACTGGCCAGCGAAAGCCGCCAAGGGCGGGCCGAGGAGGCAAGGATGCAAGGGTAGCCTCGGGAAGCTTGCCCATCGTCGCTGTGCGGGTTGGCTGTGCACCCTCTCCCTCTCCTCCTCCTGACTCTTCAGCGGTCCTCCGCCTTTCCCACCACTTGCTCTTCGCACCTCTTTCCATCATGATTATGATCGTGCTCTTTCGTTCTCGTTTTTTTCCTCACTTTCCCTGATGCCTCCCTCCCCTTCCTGCTCCTCCTTACGCCGTGCTCCCCGCGATCCTACGTGACCACTTCCTTCCCTGCATACACGCTACCGCTCTTCACTTGTCAAATGTCGCTGCTGCTGATCCGCCTCCTACTTTATTGGCCCCTCCCCTTCTCCCCCCTACCCTTTAACCAGATTCGACTGCACTCCGCCTCATCACCATCCTCTTTTTTTTTATCTTTCTCACTCCTCCTCCTCCTCCTCCTCCTCCTCCTCCTCCTCCTCCTCCTCCTCCTCCTCTTCCTCGTCCGTCTCTTCCTCCCCCCTCCCTCCTCCACATTGCCCTCCCCCTCCCCCTTCTCTTCTTCCTTATCCTCCTTCTTCCGCCATGATTGTTCCTCGCCCGTCACTCCTCCTTCTGCGCGCGTCGGTCCCACGCGCTGTCACTCTGTGTGCTCCTCCTCCTCCTCCTCCTCCTCATCCTCCTCCTCCTCTCCTCCTCCTCCTCCTCCTCCTCCTCCTCCCTCCTCCCTCCTCCTCCTCCTCCTCCTCCTCCTCCTCCTCCTCCTCCTCCTCCTCCTCCTCCTCCTCCTCCCCTCTTCTCCTCCTCATTTCTCCTTTCCTCCTCTCCTCCTCACTTCTCCTCCTCCCCCTCCTGAATCATCGCTCTTCGGGCCTCGCGGTTAGGTCCGCCGGGTCCTTCTCATCCCCTCGCCTCGCCCCTCTCGTTGCGTTCGGCCTCTCCGCTCCATCCTTCCTCTGTCCCTCACGCTCCGCTCCTCGCCCCTCGCCCGAGCGTGAGAACGAGGAGGAGGAGGAGGAGGAGGAGGAGGAGGAGGAGGAGGAGGAGGAGGAGGAGGATGGGGAGTGGGATGGGTAGACGGGTTTCTGGGGAGGCCGCCCTCGCCCCTCGCCCCTCATTCTCCTTCCTCCTCCTCGCTCACGCTGCGCTCGGGCACGAGAAGATCTCACACAGACCGAACGAACATGCTCGGATGCTTGTACGGGTCGGTATTACAGGGCCACTCGCAGAGTTGCACGTGTACCTTGTTGGTCGACCACCCGCGGTGCAGGGCTTCTCAAACAAGCGGCCTGGTGCACCCCTGAAAACCATCTTCGTCCCACCAACATGTCAACGGACGATTGCTGTGATGGCGAGAATGGCGGTCAGTGAGAGGGATGATGTTCTGACGAATGGGGAGGAGGAGGAGGAGGAGGAGGAGGAGGAGGAGGAGGAGGAGGAGGAGGAGGAGGGGGAGGAGGAGGAGGAGGAGGAGGGAGGAGGGAGGAGGAGGAGGAGGAGGAGGAGGAGGGAGGAGGAGGGGAGGAGGAGGAGGAGGAGGAGGAGGAGGAGGAGGAGGAGGAGGAGGGGTCGCCTAAGCCCTTCGGAGAAACCCTCCGCTCCCTCCTGCGGGGATCTGGCTGAAGTCCAAAGTGGTGGCGCTGCACTCCAGCGCGCTGCAGTCCGCGGCCTCCTCGCCGCTCCGGGCGCCGCCCGTGCAGTCCCGGGCGCCCCGCGGCGGGCCCTGCGTGCCGCCCGGCAGGCTCGGGTCTCGGCCGCGGCCCTCCGCCAGGATCTCCGACACGCGATCCTGGCGGGCTTTGGGGGGGGGCTGGCTGCGCAGCAGCGCGGAGAAGGAAGGAGGCAGCAGCTGCAGCAGTGCGCCTCGCTGCGACCCCCTCCCCACCCCCCTCTCTCGCTGTCAGGAGGGGAAGAAGAGGCAGGATTTGTTTTTTCTCCTTCGCTCTCTCTCTCTCTCTCTCCCCCCCTCCCTCTCTCTTTATGTCTTCTCTTTGTTTGATTCTCTCTCTCTCTCTCTGTCTTTCTCTCTCTCTCTCTCTCTGTATACTTGTACATATATGAACATGCGGTAGAACTATGACGTGTACGTATATGTAGCACCCCGCAATTGCGGATCAGAGTGAGGGGGTGGGCGCGAGATGGATCGCGGGTCGCAATTGGGTCGCGGGCCCGTCGCGGGCGGGTCGCGGGTGGGTCGCGGGGTCGGTTGCGGGGTGGGTCGCGGGTGGCTCGCGGGTGGGTCGCGGGTAGGTCGCGGGCGGATCGCGGGCGGGTCGCCTGTAGGCCGCGGGCTGGGTCGCGGGTGGGTCGCGGACTGGTCGCCGGTGGGTCGCGGGCTGGGTCGTGCGTGGGGCGACGACACCAACAATCATTTTAAGACTGCTCGCTCTTATCTGCTCGCGTGACATTCAAAACGTATATCCCAAACCCTCGGTACCCGCCCTCTTCGTCTTCGATCGTACCCCCCTGGGGGTATATCTTCTCTACCTGCCGCGCATAATTGGTGCAGCCCCTGAAACAGGGGAAGAGAGGACGGATGGAAGGGGGAGGGAGAAGGATGAAGCACGTGAAAGCCCCCAACAACAACAGCAACAGCAGCAGCAGCAACAGCAACAACAACAACGACAACGACAAACACAACACCATCAACAACAACATCAACAACAACAAATTCAGCAGCAACAGCAACAGCAACACCAGCACCAACACCACCACCAACAACAGCACCACCAACACCAATTCCACCAACAACAGCAACACCAGTAATTGTAAGACTGATCGCTCTTGTCTGCTCGCATGCCATTCAACACGTACGTCCCAAACCCTCGATACCCGCCCTCTTCGTCTTCGATCGTGCCCCGTTGGGGTATACCTTTCTTACCTTCGCAGTCCCTAAGGCAGAGGAAGGGAGGACGGATGGAAGGACGGGACAAGGGGGAGGGAGGAGGATGGAGCACGAGAGATAGTAGCAGGAGGGGGGCTAGGAGCAGAACACACGTGGCGGAACCAGACGGGCAGATCGGGCGGGTAGACCCTTTCAGGCGGGTCGGGAAGGCGGGCCCAGGCGGCCAGATCGAGCAGGCGTGTTGCTGAAGCGTGCGTCCTGCATGAATCGCGAGGAAGCCTCGAGCGACAACGCGATTCCCAAATAAGTCGTGAGGAAATCTACAGCGAGAGCGTGATCCCTGAGTATCGAGGGCGCGGCATCTGCAAACAATACGAAGTCCCACGCGAGAGCGCGATGCCTGCATGCATTGTTAGGAAGTCCCACGCGAGAGCGCGATTTGGGAACACATTGTTGTGAGAAAGTATCAGGCTGGAGCCGTTGTTGTTGTAAACTGGGCGCAAGGGGGCCAGCTTGACCGTCAAGCCTTTCCCCGGAACAAAAACAGGATGCAAACCCCGGGCGGGACACTTCAATTGGACAACTACAATGTGCGCCACGGGGGTAGCAACAATACTTAATCTTCAGTAATCAAAGTTCAGCAGCAACGACATACACAACAGCCGGCAGGCGGGTCATACGATCCTGATTCCAGGGGGGGGGGCATCGCGGGATTGATGTTTCTCTGTTCGCGCCGCTACTGGGGTGCGCCCTGTCATTGAGGGGGGCGCTGGGAAGTCAATCCGACAGGATTCACATAGGCGCGCTGCGGGTCGCCTTCGCAGAGTTGCCCCTCGCGCCCCAAGCGCAGCTGTGAATTGCTCGTGGGCAGCCCTATCTGCAGACGTCACCTTCGGACTTGGTTGGGGCCGTGACTCCCACAGCCCACGACTGCCTCAATCAGCCCCACTCGAGCACACTCCCAGCTGGATTGTACGAGTAAGTACGCACGAAAGGGCAGACAAAAGACAGGAGGAGGGAGGACAGGTGCTCAAGAAACGAAGCCTTGTAACTAGTACGGTTTCTTGATACCCTCCTCGCTCTGGCGGGGCCCCGCTGGAAGGAGGGAGGGCTACGAAACCTGGTAAAGAGTAATGCTTTCCGCGACCCTCCTCGTTCAAGCGCGCCCTCTCTGGAGGAATGGAGGGGGGACACGAAACCGTGTAAACTGCATTGTTATCCGATACTCCGATACCCCCCTGGAGGAGGAGGAGGAGGAAGAGGATAAGATGGATGATGGTGAGGAGCATCATCATATCATTTTGGTGATCATCACCATCATCATCCCCATCATCGGCATCATCATAACCATCATCAGCATCATCATCATCATCCTCATCATCATCATCAGCATCATCATCGTCAGCGTCATCGTCCTCATCATCATCATCATCGTCGTCGCCATCATCGTCATCATCATCATCATCATCATCGTCGTCATCATCATCATCATCATTATCATTATCGTCATCATCATGACCATCACCGTCCTTGGTATCATCATCGTCCGCATCATCGTGGACGTCATCATCAGCATCATCGTCGTCATCATCATCAAGAGCACAAGCAACGTCAGCATCAGCAGCAGCATCGTCACCATCACCAGCATCTGCATCGTCATCCTCGCCGTCGACGTTGTCATCATCGTCATCGTCATCGTCATCATCGTTTTCACCATCAGCATCATCATCATACTCGCCGTTATCGCCATCGTCATCGTCCATCACCATTATCGCCATCGTCATCGCCATGGTTAACAGCAGCATAACCATCGTCATCACCATCATCATCATCATGAAGCCTTCCTCATCGCAGAACTCCCCCTCCTCATCACCCTCCTCAGTGGGAGGAGTAGCACGTGAGATGGATAGGTAATGTGCTCCCCTCCTCCTCACCCATGTCAGTGGGAGGGACACGAAACCATTTAGATAGTGTGGGCTTCCGATACCCTCCTTGCTCAAACGGGGCCTCCCTGGAGGGGTGGGAGGGGCACGAAACCATGTAACTAGTATGGGTTTCCGATACCCTCCTCGCTCAGGCGGGGCTTCCCTGGAGGGGTGGGAGGGGCACGAAACAACGTAAAGAGTATGGGTTTCCGATACCCTCCTCGCTCAGGCGGGGCCTCCCTGGAAAGGCGGGAAAGGGCACGAAACCATGTAAGCAATATGGGTTTCCGATACCCTCTTCGTTCAGGCGGGCCCCCCCTGGAGGGATGGGAGGGGCACGAAACCATGTAAGTAATATGGGTTTCCGATACCCTCCTCGCTCAGGCGGGACCTCCCTGGAGGGGTTGGAGGGGCACGAAACCATGTAAATAATTTGGGTTTCCGATACCCTCCTCGCTAAAGCGGGGCCTCCCTGGAGGGATGGAAGGGGCACGCAACCATGTAAATAGTACGGGTGTCCGATACCCTCCTCGCTCAGGCGGGCCCCCCCTAGAGGGGAGGGACGGGGCGCGAAACCATGTAATTAGTATGGGTTTCCGATGCCCTCCTCGCTCAGGCGGGGCCTTCCTGGAGGGGTGGGCGGGGCACGAAACCATGCAAATAGTATGGTTTTCCGAGGCGGGCGTGATGTCCCAAGCCCGGGGGCGGCCCAATTTTTTTGTTGGTGGCCCTCTGAAACAAACACAGAAATGTCGCCGCCACGGCGCCACGCGCACGGGGGCCCTGCGCGCTACAATGGAGAAGCCCCGTGTGTGTGCGTCTGCGTGTGTGCGCGTGCGTGCGCCCACGCATGTGCACACAGACAACACGCACACAGACAACACGCGCACACGCGCACAACCCCTCACGCGCACACGCGTGGGGGTTTGTGCTGAAGGGTTGTGCTGGAAGGTTTTCGAGTTCGCCTTCCAGCACAACCCTCTCCAGCACGACCCTCCAGCACAACCCTCTCCAGCGCCACCCCGTCAGCACGATCCTCAGCACCACCCCCCAGCACAACCCCCCAGCACAACCCCCCGCCAGCACTTAAGGAATCGGTCCCAGCTTAAGAAATTGGTTCCAGCTTTTTTGAATTTCCTATATTATTCTAAAAAATTCTGAGACCCAGCTCAAAAAAGTGAGTTTCTTAACAGACGACATGAGTGTACGGAGGATTCACAGCGGGAGGAGACATATCATATAGAAAAAGATATGTGCCCTGAAAACCACGAGCGCGCAGCGTCCCAGGCAAGTGAATGGGTATGCCAGCGGGGATGGGTAATCGCACTCGCCTCCACTGTCCTTTTCCATCTCGCTGTAGCGCTTCGCGCAGTCTCACTTGCAATTTCACGCGTGCTGCATTCCACTTCCCTTTCACACGGTATTGTTTCATCAGCCTGCCATAATTTTAAAAATCAATAAACATTTACGCACCAGCCCCCTAAGGGGGAAGACGAGCTTTGGGAGCGTCCCGACCCTTTAGGATACGCGCGCGGGTGTCGGCAACAATGCTGACGCCTGCCAGATGCGCGGCGAGTCCAAAGCCAGCGACGGCAGGGTGGGGTTTCTTCGACGAAAGGAAAGATGTGATGGTTCCGAGACGCACCACCACGAACGTAACAATTTCGCAATGGATTTGGACTCTGCCTAAGGATGAGGGGGGTAGCCCACGGAGCGTCCGGTGCCTCCCCCTCCACTGCGAGCCCCTTCTCTCGGAAGTTCCCTTGTCCCTTTCTCCCCAATTCGGCCGAGCGCAGAGCGTTCTCTGCGGCGAGGCGGCCGCGGGGCGTTTTTCAGGTGACGTCTCTAGTCGTTCCCCCGCTTGCATGTCTAGGCTGGCAGGCCCTACGCTGTGCATTTCGTGATTGTGACTTTCCTTTTTTGTTAGTTTGTTTTCTCTCTCTCTCTCTCTCTCTGTCTCGGTCTCTCTCTCTCTCTATCTGTCCGCTATTGCTGCTCACGCCGTTTCCTTGAGGTGCC